CCCCAAAACCCCAAAACCCCAAAACCCCAAAACCCCAGAGCAAAAATACCCAAGAGAGAATTAAAGCGGTTAATCAGACTGGCTAGTTTATTTTAGATAAAAAGTACTCTCAGGCTTGCTTATAAGCATCTCTATGTTTTTCAAGTGTCTTGTCTTGTTGTAGCATCCTCTCGAAGTCTCCTGAGTCCACATATTGCTTAAACAAGAAGCTGAAGAACTCAGACTGGAGTAGCTTATCTAACTTCTTATGGGAGTATTTGTAAAGTCAGTCATAAATTAATTTATGCTGGCATCTTCTCTTCTGGTTCTTCAAATATGGCTTGATCACCTCAGGTATTATTAGCAAGCACAAGTAAATCTTCGTATTCTCTTTGTTGAACACGTTGAACTTGTCCACTCTCATAAACTCACGGTCGGTGATCAGCTCTATTATGTTTCTGTTTTGTTCTGTAGGAAAGAATGTAGAGTAGGATTCGAGAAATAATTTATCCACTTCAGAGAAGTAAGCTTTCTCTTTATCACATTTTGACCATCCTTTTTGTAATGATAAGTCGCATTTTTCGGTGACTCTTCTAAACCATAAGTTAGCTTTGCTCTCATTTTCACAAAGTAAGCTATCATTGAATTTTAGATATCTTAATTGTTGTTGAGAAAGAAAATTTTAATTATACAGCATTTGGGCTGCCTACTTGATCAAAATTTATTGTGGTTAGAAAGCAAACAGATTTTTATGTCACTATGTACTAATCCTCAAGTGAGGCATACTTGGTAGGCATCAGACTCTACATTTCCATATGTATAAGTACCTCTTTAGGGAACGAATAAGGGTTTTATAAACCACATCCTTTCTGAGACTTAAGGGTTCTTTTTCGTGATGCTTCATCTCTTTATTTGAGAGGGACTTTTCCTCCTCCTTTGATTGTTCTTCTATTTTACTGGGAATTTTCATTACTTCCTGGCCAGGTTGATTTCTTAGCATTTTTCTGGGCTTAATATTACTCTTTGGTCACTTCTCAGCCATTTTACGGAAAATTGGTTTGGTTTTTGCCAGGTTTTGAGTAGACTTATTCTCTTTCATGGTTGGGTCATTCATATCATTATTTTGGGTCTTTGTGGCCGTCGATATTAATAGATGCGAATCCTTTTGGCTTATTCTCCTTTTTGAGGGCTTTTTGTCAGAGCCAGCTCGATTGGGGCACTTTCATTCATAACCCTCTTCTTGTTTGTAAAAATCTAAAGTGAAGTTGAGAAGAAGATAGAACAAATCCAAAAATATGCCTGCAAATAGTGAAAACATTGCTTGTATATGGCTTATTTATCACTTTTAGGCTTTAGAAATGAGTCAAATTACAAGTACTATTAAACATAGGATCTAGCTGTTCCTCCCCAAAAAGCGGATTAGCCATATCATCAGGAGCACTACTGTTTTCTGAATTAGGAGGATTCATTTCTCTTGTATTAAGTAAGTTTGGTTTTAACAATTCTTTCTATCTTTACAAAGACAGACGGGGTTTTGGGGTTTTGGGGTTTTGGGGTTTTGGGG